CTTGGAAAGGGGAGATGCGACCCAATTGACAGAGCATGGAAGATGCCCTTCCAGCCCCTTATAATTAATCATTAATCTTCCAGCATTATGTTATTAACTCCATGTGCATGCATTGCTCTCTAAATAAATCATACGTGAAAATGATAGTTTGCAAATACTACCAAGTCATTAAACTTTAAGGACCTTTCAAAATGCGATCGTTTGCATTTGAATTTTCACTTTGCCCAGGTGACAATTTAAGAGGCTACTTTTACTCATGCGACTTTCCCTTCTCTTAGCAAGGCAAAAACAATGGTTAACAGCTCAAATACAGTTATGAATGCTCAATGATGAAGTTTCCAACAGCTCTCAGTGACACCTGTCTTTTCTCTCATTTCCCACACCATCACACCTAGGCGACAATTAATTTTAATATTATTGTCGGACCCTTATTAGTTGGAAAATAGGCGAGGCACACTACTCAACCAAAAAATAAAGTTATACCATGAGGTAGCTCCAAGGAGCCTTTGTTTACTAAAGCCGCTATGAGCCTCTGTTTATAGCCATTAGATTGCAGCCTTGGAGTCTTTTTCACTAGTTTATCTTGTCATACACGACTTGACATCAGCATGCACACTATCAACGGTTATATCGATTATGATGACTGAAAAACAGAGAATGCATTAAAAAAAGGAAACTTGTCGTAAATGTTTGTATGAGTGGCCGCCCTACAATTTCTCTTTATCCAACAAGGAAAAGCAACGATGCAGAATTTTTGCAGCATTGAACCCTTTCAGCACTTAGGATTTCTGCAACACTGGAGTCATACTCTGCAGAATTTCTCTAGCATTATATTGGACGTCATACCATGCAAAATTTCTGCAGCACTAGTCTGAATTTCAGCCGTCTCTTGCCTTTACCCCAAGGGGGGCGCGGGAGAGAGACGTGTGAATTCCGAGCGTTATAATGTCGTCCGGTGACGTCACTTACTAACTTATGCATTTTGTATAAATTAAATTTTTGAAACAAGATGGCGGCCACGAGTCATGGAAACGTAACCGGACAGATGCATATGTATGAGGTGTTCTGTGTTTTGTGTGCCGTGAAGCTTGACGACAAAGCATCCAAAATAAATGTAAGGGGTCGCTCTTCTTTTACAATTGAAACTGAATTAAAGGAAGTTGCCGCTAAAGCTTGCAATCGACGACAACACTCGTTTGTGTTTTCCCTGTCTGCGCAGGCTAAAGAAGAAAAAGTCCTTTGAGGAAAATTTTGCCGCTGCATCAGAAAAGATTGTAGGAAATTATGGAATAGATATGAAACCCGCGACTTTGCGCCTTCAATTGCTAGCACACCTACGAAATCGGCGCAAAAATCTATCGTTGGATCTACCACTTGTACTTCTTCAGCTCTACGAACGTTTTTGCAACCTCAGCCAACACCTCAACACAAAAAAGACACTGAACCTGGTGTCAGGGTAGGCTATCGGTTTTTCTCTTATTTTCTGGAAATTTTATTTCGCTCGACGAAAATTTGTTTGCTTTCATGCTCTAACCGGTTTCTTAATGAAACTGGAATTAACAATTGAATGTGAAACATTAAGATCATGTTAATTTGGGTTGTGTTCAATCTTACATATCTTTAAATAAACATAGGAAAATTGCGATTGACAGTAGTGAAGCCTTAATTCCTCTTTGTTGAAGACCTTTAACTTGATATTTGATCAAAGATACCAAAGGTGAAATCACCAACACGATGCCACTTCGAATATTGCTCCAATTCCTTCTCGACATCTCTTGCGCAACCAGAGGTGACAGTTGATATATTAGACTTTTGCCAAAGCCCGTGGGAAGATTGACAAAACCATCCTTTCCAGAAAGAAGATAAAACAAAGCTTTCTTGTGTTCATTCTTCAACTCTGTTAAGCCAAAACGCGGTAAAACACTCTGCAAACTTGTCTCGAATATTGCTTTAAAATCGTCCCGCGTATCCGCCACCATCGTTTACACTTCTTAAAATCACCCTTGGCGCGTTTAACTAATAATAAAAGGTTATCTAATTCAAACCAATCAAAAACTACCTACCATATCCAAATTAGTAAGTCTCTCTCCCGCGCCCCCCTTGGGGTAAAGGGAATAGACGGCTGAAATTCAGACTATTGCAGCACTGGACTTTAAGGCATGTAGAATTTCTACAGTATTGGACTTCATACCTTGCAAAATTTCTGTAGCACTGCACTTCTTACCTTGCAGAAGTAGTTAGAACTTCTGCAGCATTGGACGTCATACCATGCAGAATTTCTGCTGCACTGCGCGTGCACAATGAAAGTAATACCATGCCAAATAAAACTTAGCAAACGATTAAACATATTGGATTAAAGTCAAAGACTTTTTCGTGGATGTTACTAAAACTAGGAACGGGGAACGGGGAACGGGGAACGGGTGTACAGCGGTTACCCGTCTAAGAATTCAAGATGGTGGAGTAAAGGGAACTAAAAGGGCCTGGCAACTAGCTTTGAGCACGTGCTCTTCGAACGCGATCGTCGGACCAAAAAGCATGGACGGTAAGTGTAGGTTTTATTGAAGGATCTTACTTTGAAATGTTGAGTGCCTCATGAATTTGGTTTTTGTCTGGCACACATTGCAGGTTGCGTAGAAATCAAATCCTCGGAGAGGTGTGTATCTTAAAATCCATGCACAACATTTGAACGATCAACTCAGAACTACAAGCTCGCGGCATTTATTCTTATATTCATAGAGTAATTGTACTGCAAGGTAATGAAGTTTTCCTCCAATATCTTCACCGTTACAACCTAGCAAGATCAATAATGTTGTAAAGCAAACAGCTGAATGACTTTCACGCCCATTATGAGAATCACTTTCTCTTGAATATGATCAATGCAGTGTAAATATTATTGTAAGCATTAGCATGAATGTGAATTCATACACCTACATTCTTGAAGACATGACTCATGTTTTCCTGTTAAATTAAATGTTATTAAAAGTTCTGTCAATGTTTGATTTCTCTATTGTTTACATGGAAGTTTATGGGTCGATACAAAGATATGTTCCTGATGTTATTTTGCGGTAAGGTAAGCAGATATCTACATGTAGTAATTTTAATAACTAGGCTGGTTATTACGTTTCCTAGCCCATTTCTGTTAATCTAAGATATTACCTCCTTGCTACTTATCTGCAAAAAATGCTGTTGGGCAATACAAACAACCAACATACCCAGACTCTGCCAAAAGATGCAGATTTCAGGATGGAAAAACAAAGAGAGACGTCAGAAGAAATGGTGGCAGCCATTGCGGAAACGTTGACTTCGAATTCTCGCCTTGGAATACCAGGCTTCGTGGCTTAGCCTGGGCAATAGTTAAATGAAAGCGAGTTGTCTAATTTCGCTGCAAGCGGCGACCTAGCGATAAAATCAGTGTTTGTAAACATCGTTTACTCCGCCATTTTGAATTCTCAGGTGGGTTACCGCTGTATACCCGTTCCCCGTTTCCCGTTACCAGTTTTAGTAACATCCCTTTTTCGTCCCACTCTCAAACGTTCAGGGCATTATGTGACCAGAGTTTATAACCGATGCAGTAAAAAATTAAATATTTGTGCGGGTAAAATGCACGTACATTTAACACAACTGTTCGTTTAATTTTAAAAAAAATTTGCTCTTTTGAAGCAACACTTTTTCTTTGTCCGTTAAAACTAGAGCATGTTTGTTTTATTAAATTGGAGAAGTTTCCGTTTGCTCTGCCGAAATATTGCTGTTCTAACGCCACCATTTTACTGTGTCTGGAAAAAAACGGGACATTTTGCGGAATCGACATGAAAACTATTCCTAAAAGGGTCATTTTCGTGGAAAATGCTACTTTGGAAACAACAAAACAGTTTGGAAAGCGTTAATATTCTATTACATGATAATGCATAAGCCGTGCTCAAAATTTTAATTTGATAATAGATTTATAGCCAATAACAATCCCGTTAGTAGAGTCTGTGGAAAAATTGAATGTGTACTTATGAAAAACCTGGTAAGCCACATAACAGCCTTTTACAGTAGCTATATGGCAGTTAAATTTCAAGGTGAACAAATGTGAGGTTATGCGAGTAACACATAATCGTGATAAATGTCCCACATTAATCTGTCGTTCCGCGCGGAGAATGTCTAAGCTCAGTGAGTTATGTAAAAAACCTTAGCATTACAATCTCGCACGACCTCCCATAGACTCCACACGTTATTGAGATTGTCAGTAAGGTCAATAAAGTTCTTGGTCTAATCAAGCGAACAATCGGTCCTGTAGACAAGGAAATCTTTTCCACACTGTTCAAAACTGTTGTGGGACCAATCCTTGAGTATGCTTCCCCAGTATGGTGCCCTTACCTAGTTAAAGAATATTGTTCTCTTGGAGAAAGTTTAGAGAAGAGCCTCTTGATTGGCTTTAAGTCAGCGAAGGGGTGAGATGTCACATGAAGATCGTTGACAAATGTTACATTGGTCGAAGTTGACTGATAGAAGACTATATTTTTCCTTGGTAGAATGCTCTAAACTTGTATTCGGGCTGAATGGCCTCCATTTTTGTGATTTTTTTGAGTTTGCTTCAAAACGTACTAGGTCCAACCACAATTACAAACTGCAGGTGAAATTGGCAAAATGTAATTGTTATAAATACTTTTTTTGTTGATGAAATCATTCGTGAATGGAACGACCTGCCAGCCAATGTCGTTGAGATAGGTAACTTAACACGTTTCAAAACAGCTCTTAAATTATACATGCGTATTTCTTAGGTTTTTATCCATCTTAGATTTTATCATATGCATTCATTTTTAAATTTTATTTCGTTGGAAGTTTATTTACATAGGTTAACCTCTTAAACTTCCTCTTTAGGGTATTATTTGTGTTGTTTATTTCTTTGATACTTTAAATAAAGAATGTATGTATGTATGTACATGTATCCATTAGCTTGTACTAAAGTCATTCGAATGAGTTACAATCACGGAGAGAGAAGTGACAACTACTATGAATGAATACAAAAAAAAAACTTTAATCCTTGCCTTCTCTTCGCGGTTTTTTAGGTAACTTTAGCAAGCGCATCATTCTTATTTGACCGTTTTTCTTCTAATGATTGACAAAGTTCAGTATAAACCAGAAACAGCCCAACTTTCTAAATGAAGCGAGAGACGTGTAAAAGTGTTTGTAATGTTTGTACGTAATGTAAGGTTTTACAACTTTTTCTTTCTTAAAAAGTTAGTAAGATTGTGCAATGATACAAAAACGTACAGAGTAAATCAATATCAGTAAACATGGCGCCTTAATAGAGCGATCTTGGATTGAGTGTCTTTAAAAGGAGAACTGATAGGAATTGCAGCGATAAGAACAAAGGCAAAATCGCTGGAAGCACCGCGAACTCAACGTATTGTAGGTGCAGACATGCACCTTCAAGCCAAGAGCGTAGGAAAACGCGAGTTACTAAAACCAGTGTCTATTTTCACTCATAGAGACTGTGGTGCGACTTTTCTTCGTCAATGGCAGAGCTAAACCAAATGATCCACTGCAAATATGGATTACTTCCAAAACTGAATCAAAAACTATTCTATTCCTGGTGCATTAGAATTTCTACTAACAAAGCGTCCTATCGACTAGAAGGTTTGCCAGTTTATGACAACACAGATATGCAAGATTTTTAAATGGTTAGGGCCATGACACTACTCAGTCCACGAGACATGTATCAGAAGCTCGACTGTTTAAATGCTCATCGAAAGACCTTCCTTTCACAAAGAAAATAATAAACGTATTTCGTTAAACCTTATGGTATAACCTTTCTATTTGCAATCTAGAAACTAATGATATTATCACTGTCATTTCAGAAATGTCTAAATCCTCATCAAACGGAATGTTTTAGATTCCACTGTTGATAGCATGGTTTTCATGGTTAGTACTAGACTGTTCCACTAGCTTTTGCTCCATCGCTTTCAGTTTCAGGGACTTTGCTTCCCATTCCCACACCAATGTCCCTCACCGCGGGTGGTCTGACAACAGTTGGTCTCCAGCAGAGTAAAGACAGATGAACGGGCAAGATACACAACCCGTGTAGAAGGCCAAGTACGACAATACCGAGGAACATTCGGAAAAATATTCGGAAGATCTCTGAAGAAGCAAACCCAAGTAAGACCATTCCAAGAAAAGTACTGAATCCTAAAAATAGCAAGGAAGGATAAAAAAGTTCATATTTTAGTAGTGTTTTTCTTTAAAGGTTTATATAAAAACAATTTCTACATTAGGCTTCCTCGTAAAAAATCGCTAATGTCCCAACACTTCTACTAAAAGTGTCAAAATAAACGGACGTAATCAGTAAACTTCCTCTCTTCTCTAAGCATTCAGTGCAGTGCTTACACAGTCGATGTTATGAAGTTTTTAGCTACTCTTTTGGAGAAGTTATCTAGCTCCTGACTTACCTCCCATGAGAACACTCGCACCGATAGTGCTCAGAGCCTCCACTACTCGCTTGTCAGCTGTTTCCTTGTTTGATGTTGTGTAAGCATGCGCGACATGTGCGCTATAATCGACTGCAAATCCAACGGCCATAACGAGGTTAATCATTGACACAAAGTTCAGTGACACGTCCCATATGACCATCAAACCAAACAACTCGCATATCAGGGCGGCAAAGTTAAGAACCACCAGGAGCGTCACGGTGAAGTCCACCAGAAAAGGACCTGTGACCACCAACACTGCTAGGGCCGCGATTATTAAGTTCCTTACGGTTTCCCTGGACGTGATAGCGTACTGTTCATAAAAAATAAAAGATCGACGGATCGGAAAGGCATCGAGTTTGGACTTTTCAGTTATGTCCTTGCGAATTGAAGTCATTGCGTCCTTCTGAAAGGTGGAGCTGCCAGAGTCCTTCATATAACTCATGATGCGTGATGCTTCTATAATTGTACCGTCGTCGGAAAACTTCAAGTCCTGGCTTAAGTAAGAGTACTCAGGAATGCGAAGAAAAGCTGTTAATTCGGGCAGAAACTGTGGACCAGTAATGTTTTTCTTAAAGTGTTTAGCATATTGAGTAAAGGCGTCCATCCATGAAACTGTTAGGTTCTTAAAATATTTGTTTTCTGTGACAATGTTTGTAAGCGCTCTGATATGTTCGTGGGTAGAGTACATCTCATAATGAACGCTGCCTGTTTCCACGATACTAACTTCAGGGGTCATCTCAAAGTATCGTTCTTGAGCGGTCAAAAACTGCCTTAGGTAAGATTTATCCGTCGCTAGGATTCTTCGGTCAAAACTCTCGTTCACTCGAGATATCCCATATATTCCGGCTGCAAGCAGTGCAAATGAAAACAAAAGAACGATGACTTTTGTCACTGGAAGCGTCAAGAACTTCGCCCAATACTCCATTGCTCGGTTTGACGTCTGTTTAATAGGTTCGTCCCAGGCTGGCTTTCCCTCCTTTGCTTTAGGCGCTTGGCAGTACGGGAGGCAGTCTCGGCGACCGGATTTGATTCTTCTTACGTCATAGGTCATAATTGCCACAAAGCATGTGATAATTAAAAGGAATGATAAAGTCACTGTCAAGGCGGCGTAGATGCAGAAATACCTAGGAATACAAAAAAATTGTTTAAGACTTACCACGGAAGCTTTCTGAGAAATAGCACACGCATAATGTTAGGGAACTGGGCCAAAATCGAAATTGGATGTTGATGAAAACGAGTTTCATGTAGAAATGATACGATGCGGTTAAGGCTCAAACTTTAGTTCCAGTTATTGATTAAAACCTTCACTGTATTCTCAATAAGTTGCCATGTAGCGAAGCTTTAGCACACCGTGAAAAATATGCCTGAAAAAGCAAGAGTGAAACTTCTTTTCTTTTCGCTTGGCTAATACTGACTTCAAAAGCGATAAACAATTTCATTGTTCACAAAAAAAAATTATTTAAGTGACTCACTTGATGGCTGGAAATGAGCTTGAAGTGCTGACCACAAACGCTACTAAATCCGTCATAGTTGTCATGGTGACAGTTGATCCCGAGTGCTTCATAACCGCTTTGATCTTTGCTATCGTTGAAAGGTCACGTGGTTGCCGATCCAGTTCGTCCACCATAATGAACATGTCGTCGATGCCGATTCCAAGAACAAGGAACGGTAGCACTCCAACAAGACTGACAAAGGGAACGCGGAACCACATACCAAGGCCGAGTCCAGCCAAAATACCGAGGGCCACCGTAAAGACTCCTGCGTTAGCAAGCAACTTATGACCGTTCAACGGATTTAAGAACTTTCCTAGCATTGTGCAAGCAAAGGAGATCATAAGCATGAAAGTGATTGACACCAAAGTGACGTCAGACCCAGTACTTTCAGCAATGGCATCGTCAAGGCTCCTTTCACTTGAGAAGTGGACCTCGTAACAGGAAAGACTACTATCTGTCAAAGCGGTAATTTTATCAATGAAACTCTTCTCCAAATTAAGGACTTTCTCGTACATGTCGTCGTCACTGGGGTCACGTACCAGATACACCATTTGCAATGCTTTGGCGCCAGTTATACTTCCATGTTTTCGAGCTACATCACCAAACATTCGGTTAAAGTTGAACCAGAAAGGGCGACCGTTTCGCATGTTCAGGCTGGTGTCCTTGTACGCTCTGCTCAGTTCATGTTGCACCTGTTTTATGTCTTTATCAATCAATAAAGTTTCGTTGAACTGCAGGAATTCCAGTGGGTTGATCATAACGCAGTCTTCTGGTGATCTGGATTGGTTCCCCGACACAGTGACACAGAGGTCGGAGTAAGATTCCAATTCAGTGACTGCTTTGTGTACTTGAAAGGCTTGTCTCAGACACTCAGGGGATAGAGCATTAGGATGACTAGGCGATGCCACCAAAAGGACGATTTCTTCTCGAACATTGACACGAAAGTATCTATCGGCTGCTTCTAAGTCATCTATGGCCTTGCTTGTTTGGGGGATAAACAGTTTTACGCTTCTGTTTTCCGTTTGAAACCAAATAAATCCCACGGAACAGACAATGACGACCACAAGACATATCTGGATTGTTATCAGTGGATGTTTGGCGATTCCTGCCCCAAACCAACCAAAGAAGCGTTCCAAAAGATGTACGTACCAGCGGCAAATCGAGGACCAGAAACGACAAGGATTGAATCGTTGAGGAAAACAGCACCTGCGATGCAAATAGAAATATACCATAAACGTGTTCTGCCACAACGTTTTTTTGAGTTTTTAATAAACAACGAGGTCTCAACTTAGTTTGCTCTTTTCGTCAATGTAGGGGGTCCCCAGCGCGAAAGAATTGTGGCGTGGAAAGCTGGACGCTGGACTTACAAAACAATTGCCGCTGTGCCAAATGAGCCTGTGACAAATGAGCCTACTTCGTTTGCTTCATGAAAACTAACAAACTATTTTCCCAGCTGAATTTCCTCTATTCTCTGTGTCCTTGACATGCATTAGACTGTCACAAAGCAAAGATAATTTTACTTAATCGCAAGGCTTGTCAGAACACTTTGATCGATCTGATAGGCAAAGGAGATATCAGCTTTCGACTACGAATTGAATTTTGAGCAAAAATTTTGATTTAAAGTATAGAATGAGTACCTCTGAGTCCTTAATTCTCCATGATAGTAATCAGTTAGAGCTTTTTCTTCATAATTGGACTAATTATGAGTCTTGAAGATGTGAACTTTATCAACATGACAATTACGGAACAAAGAGGACATCATCGAGACTTATGCTTGAAACTTTTTAAATCAAATAGGTAAGCGGAATTTCAAACAAAGACCAGTTGAATTTTGGAAAGGAAAATAACTTTATGAGCAGGTAGTTGCACAGGTAGAGCTTTTACTTTCTCAAAAGACAATTACTCTTTGCGACCATTGAGGTTTTCGTCTCCGAGATGAGAGAAGATCGGCATTCTAACGAACAACCCTACACGCCTCCTAAATCCTGAATAGTATTTCGATCGAGCAATTCAACAAAAAAGCTAAACTTCAAAATCATAACACAATAAGTATTAACTGCAACAAGTATAGAGCGGCCTACTGTGATTGCAAAATGGTCTGGTAATTGCACTGACAACTCGTGCCACGAAATCTCGTGGAAGGATCGTACGTGAGAAATATTTATTTGTATCCAATCTCCCTCAAACAGAAACCCGATAGTTTGCAATAAGTTCTTCTATCGGTAAGCCACGGACTTTGCGCTTTCAAGAATGAAATCTTTGAACTCCGAGGCTAAAGGGCCTTAAATTTCTGTCCACGATAATCTTTCAGTACATGACAAAAGATCAGCGACCTCAAAAATTCGAGATGTAAAAATAGTTTGTCCTGATAGATCTGTATTGCACCGTCAGTTAAAGAGAATTCAATTTCAAGCTTCACGTTTCCGTCTTTGGGTAAATTTCTTATAAATTTAGACATGATCCAAACGCCTTGATTTCATTGTTTAAAGAGTAATTTTCAAAGAATTGCAATGAGTAATTTCAATATGTGTTGACGAAAAAACGTTTAACGATATGAACCAAGGTCTGTTAGAAAGTGAAAAGATCAAATATACCATTTATGATTTTATTGATGAAAGTTCTTTTTCCACTATTACGCCATTTTACTGTACCAGGACATCGGAACGTGCAAAATATGCCGTGGTATTACATGGCAGAAAGGCCGCACTGAACGATCCCAACTTCGGTTTTACTCCATTTTTTTAGGCTTGACTTTTAAGGCAACAAACTGATAAGCGCATCAGGTTTCTTTGTTAGCCATGTAAAAACACCGCAAAGGGTTAAAAACCGCAAACTGAAACCGTAGAAAAAAATCATCCAAAACCGAAACAAAATCGATAAAAACCGAAAACCGCTTGCAAAACCGTCAAAACTGAGAAAACTTCACATCCCAGTTATCAAAACCCGAATGGATCCGATACAGTGGTGGTAAGTGGAGAATACAGAGGTTTTGCGGCTATTCGAGGTCAATGGAAGCGCATGATTGCCGCTCAGATCGAAGAGAAACCGGAACCTAAATAGGAAAAACTGAAAACATGGAAAACCAAATCCGGAAACCCATTAGTATATTTGACGAAAACCAGATACTAAAAAAAAAAAGGAAAACATGCAAACCGCATTGAACACTAGAACTGAAAAACCAATCTAAAAATAGTCTTAGACAAACCACACAAAAAAAGGCTCTAGGGTAACTCGGGCCTAAAGTGTAATTATTCCATTAATAGCTCAGCTTTGATTGATTGCCGTCATATATAATCTCACAACTTTAATTTTTTTATTTCTTTTTAACACTGTGTAGACACATCTTGATATCATCTAATTTTTCACAGGACATAATGTTCACGTAATTGGAAGCCCTCAAATAACACTCTGGGACTATTTGCTCTCAGACTGGGACTATTTTTAACAAGATTATTATGACTTTCAAGTGACATATTATACAGTTTCGAAAGAGGCCTTCAGGCTGTATTATTCTTAAGTATAGAGCAAGAACATATATCTGAAAATATAAAAATGAAACATCCCAAACAGATTTTTCCAAACTTCTTGAAAAATAAAGATTAATTCATGAGCGGTGAGACTCACTCAAAAGATGCAAATAATCGTGGTTTAAGTGTCCCTGTCTGAGGAAGTGTTCCAGGGGCCAGAAGTGGTGGTCAACCGATTCGGCTGAAACTTGGCACAGAAGTTGAGAGTGATAACATATTTCAAAAGCCATTTTGGCTCACTTCTCTGACTGTTTGTTCTGGAGTTTCTGCATCGATGCATTTTGTGACGAAATTTCCGTCGTTTTGTTTTAATTTTACAGCTCTCGCTCATACATTTTCTTAAGCTGGTCGCAATGTTTGTCTGAGTCCGTGCGGGGCCGGTCTCATAGGTTACCACGTAAAAAAATCTATTTTTAGTAATAGTATAAAGCGCTATTCTGAATGCAAGCGTGACTTGATCGTTTACCACTGATTCGCGCGCGCTCTTGCATGATTGGCTTCACGGGCTAGCCCCCATTGACTTTTCTTGATATATAATTTTGTTACAATGACAGTTAAAGATAATTTGGTCTTGCTCTGAAGACACTCCGAAGAAGAGCTCTCTGAATCATAGTGCATTTTAATGATATTCGTGGGAATAGCTCTGTATTAGTTCATGATCAACCGTTTAATGCCTGCTTCTGGAGCCATGGAGAAACTTCCTTCCCTGTACTTATCACATAATGAAACAGATTCTCTCGACTAGGGTAAGCAAATCCGAATGATTGCTTTTTCAGAAATCGCATGGTGGTTCCGAGTCGATCAAAGAAATACATTATACTTTTAATCTTTGAAATGGAGAGGAAGATTAGATTTGTTCATTACGTCGAGTCTCTTGTAGCATGCGCATGCAGGCAATAATATTTCAACAGTTTATTTAAGTTCACCCGATGTGTTTTAGTGCTACCTCAGCTTTTATGGACTTTGAGAACTTGCAATCCTCTTTATAGACAAACCAACCGAAACTTTAAGCGATTGACTGTGACTGATAGCAAGTAATATCAATAAAGCTTTTTTTAAGTCAGGCAGTACGTCCTAACGAAATTCTCGAGACAGTCGTTCGGATTACAAACACGAGGTTGAAAACAACTCAACATTTTTCCCTTAAAACTTATGGGAAGGTGTGAACATCAAACAGAGATTGTAAGTCTAATCTTGGCTGTGATACATATTTGGCCAACTCGAGAAATGGGTAAAATACATTAATTTCGGAAACTGAGAGAAGGTGCCTGTGTACCAACATTATGATGTGAGACATTATCATTATCTAATAACCTACCTTGATTGGCTCGACTCAGACATGGTGCAGGAAGCTGATTTTGACTCTTTCATTACGGTACATGAGCGACCCCCTGCTAACTTGATTACAAACTTATTGATCAACTTTTTCCTGTCTCTGATCATTTAAACTCTCATCGTGCATTGTTTTTCAGAACTTCCGTTCTCTCCAGGTAGCTGTCGCTTCAGCGTTAGAGGAAGTCACGTTAATCCTTACTTTAGTCACGTTTATTCCTTTGGTCTCGGACATCCTTCACGCAAAAGAATTAATAAGGAAGGGAGGATCGGGACTTCCCGATAATTCCATTAGGCAATTTTTAATGTGATAGGTCACGTTAATCCTTCCTTTAGTCACGTTTATTCTTTATTCTTTTTGTCACGTACGTCCTGACAAAGAAATCAGTAAGGAAGTGATGATCGGTTTTCTCAGACAATTCCACTAAATAATTCTCAATATTTCTTCAACAGGCAACACAGTAATTGTACTACAAATATCGTTCAGTGTCTTCTGAGAGTGTTTTGCCAGCTGATTTTTTATCTGCGCATAAGGGAAAAATAAACAAAATAAACTCATGAACTCATGAAGCTCCAGCTAATAAGGCAGAAAATGGTAAACTCAAACTTAAATGAACCTTTCGTCTTACTTGTTAATGAATAACATAAACAGGAAGTAGTGCCTTGCCGACGAAGCGGGTATGTTTTCCCACACTCAGCTGTATTTCAAGCGGCTTAATTCTGAACAATTTTCTGAATTCTAATTAAATATCATTTGGTTAAAATTTAAGAAAAATGATCTGAAACCTTGTCGTCAACTACTCCATGGTTTATTTTGTCCGCTCGCTTTCAATGTAAAGTTGTTCCTTGCAATTTCTCAAGAACAATTACTCGTACACTCCTAAGTTCAATTCTTTTGAAAAGAAATTAGATTCTTTCTGAAATATCCATGTCTCTTCAGAGAAGAATTTATAGATTCAGATTCTTCGTTCCCAGAGAAAAAATTTATTTCTGAGGAAAAGAGAAAAGAGATCTGGCTCTTGAGGAGAGAACTGTGGGTCTTGTCCCAAGGTTAAGAATTCTTATGAGACAAAACTCGTGTATGTCTGATTCTTGATAAAAGAAGACTATTTTTTTTTCCAATAAAACAAACTTCTCTGGCTAAGAAGCAGTCAATAAGGTATCCTAAGAAGAAAAACTGCTCTCCTCCCAAGGTGATATCCAGTTCAGCAGAATCTCATATTTCAAATGAGCTTATCAGAAGAGTAGTTGTTCTTCTCTGAAGACCCAATATTTGTTGGAGAGGAATGTCAGTTTTTCAGTCTTTTCGAGCGTATTTTTGTCCTTCACCCAAGAACAAATATTTGTTTTTAAATTGATCTTAAAGACTATTGTTCTTCTCTAGAGACTGACTTTACTTTTGCTAAGAGTCACATGCCAAAGGATCCCTGCTGAGAAAACCTTTGTGCTCTACTGAAGTCTGAATATCCTATTGAGCAGAATCTCAAGCCATTAATGGGTTTGCTGAAATATTGAAAGGAATTTCTTTCCTATAACAAAGTAAATTACACTGAAGAAAATCTAATTTTATTTGGTTTTATTATTGTAACATACAATTAACACAACACAAAATTAACTTACATTTTTACAATATAAGCATTAGGTTATCTATGAACAACTATATCAACATTCACAGTATCAACAACTCTCACTATTTATCTACATATCTCATATTTTTTTATAATGTTGTATCACTCCTAAATCATACCTCATTTAATTAGGTTTTATTTTTAATATACAACTCACATGGAATATCATAAGTTTTCATTTCACAACAACATGATGTATACATCAAATCATCAATAAACAACTATATCAACACTCACTGTTTTGGCATCTTTCAATTTTTATCTACAAATCTCATTCTTTGTATCTCACACAGATTATTCCCAGATCATGCCCTATAACTTGCCGAAGAGCACTTCCTCTCAAATTTGAATGACTAACATTTTGGCATTGACAACTTAAACTGTTGAATTAGTTAAGAACGGTGTATCATGAATTTGCAAGCAACGATTTCTCAGCAGTTCTAAATTAACAATTTCACATTTTGGATATGCTGAAACTTTAGAATTTGCAGCCTTTTACCAAAAACATTTCCTGCCACAATCTTTTCCCCTCATCCCCTTATAAACAGCAAGGAAAGTGTTGATCACAAAAATTCCCTGCACACTCTTTTCAGCTTGAATGATAGCAACCTCTTCCACCTCACTACCTGTGTATATCCAGAATTTCTTTTCCATCTTTTACACTTTCACTTGAAAAGGTCACTTCACCTTCTAGCAAACTCAAAGGTAAATATAAAGATATTTCAATGAAATGGATGAAAACATCTACACTGTAATTCACTATTAGTGGCAATTTTTTTTAAATTCAGAACATGCTCATACCAAAAGCAAAATGAATTTTAGCTGAATTGGACATTTTTTATACAGGTTTCTATCATCAATTAGGATCTATTTTTGTTTAGCAGCTGAAATCAAATTTGCCAGTCCTGCAATCAGAGTATCAATAGGGTTCAATCAGTTGCTGAAGTACACACTCTCTTCTAGTAGCTAGCTTTGTTAACACGTGTTCCTAATAGCGCCTAATGAAGGTAGAAAGAAGAATTTTCTTACATTCAATCTTGTGGCAAGAACCTTGATTCTTCTTGAAAGAATCGCGATCAAATTATTCTTGTTACAGGAAGAGAAAATGCGTCTTGGAAAATTAAGAGTGGAAAGTCAGAGAGCAGAGATGATTAGCTTCTTTAAGCTGATTTACATCCGAAGGCACCTTGTTATGCTAAGCGTTCATCAAAAAATAAAAATGTGAAAATAATATAGACGCAGTGTATGTAAATTTTTCTTTCTTCCTCAACCAAATGCAAAGTGCACTTTTTATTTCTTTGGGTGGTCATGCTCGCAGAGAAACTGTCTCTTACTTATTTATCTGTTCTAAAATATTCAGGTTTCCTAATCAACGCTTTCGGTTATCTCAAATTCCGTGAGGTATATGTTTATTGTTACCTGCTGGCTTTTCAAGCAGGTTGGTGGTAAGTGGTCTACTATCGAATTTTCTAAATTAACAAGTCAGCTGTATCGAGATATAATTAGCCCCGTTGTCGTGCGAAATTAGTATAGAAACGTATTTCCTGAACTTGGAAAAGTTTGGCCCGTTTCACCGTTTTAACTGAAACGTAATAACGGCGAATTACAGTGCCTAGGTTATTTTTATTTTGCCAATTTTCACTGATGGAAAATCGCCAAATCGCTCATTTAATTTCAAATGATTGTGGTGTTTCCTGCAGCACTCTAATGAGGTCTAATTATACAAAATTGAAAACCACGCAAAGTAAGCATGTTCACTCGAGGTATGGATGAAACGTCTTGGATCAAAGAGTTTGTAAATATATTTCCTTTGCCAATTTAAGATTTCTGAGGTTATTTGACTAGCTGGCCATGTGTATTATGCCTTGATTTCCTTTACCTTAAGGTTTTCCTTTGTTGTCTCATATGATGATAACACGGAGATGATGTCTAAGTTTATTGAACTTGTATAAATTCTCATCTGAGCATTTCGTAGATGAAAATGTACTAAGTCAAACTTAACTATCTTTGCAGAGCTTTGAAGAAACTCACTTCCATTAACAGAGGGATTTATAGATCAGTTCCAAGTTCCTTCAGTTTAAAAGGAAGCCGAGAATAGGCGGACTGACTGAAACTCATTTCAATTTTTAATCATGATTAATGTACTCTTCTTTATCACTCAAGCAATTAAGCTAGGCTTTAATTCTCACCATGATAACTAAGAAGCAAGGTTGGTTAAAAAATGCTCATATTTATTACTTTATTCGAGAGATACCCATAAATTATGTTGTATAGGCTTCAACAAGCTGAGATAACTACAAAAAAGTTACTCAAATTCTGGGTTTCAATCTCTGGTCTCCCGGAAATCCAAAATGCATCTGTGATCTTGCGGTTTCCAACGCGACCAGCAACGCTCAGAATTCTCGGCATATACGGCTGGAAGATTAGAATAATATCGTAAAAGATATAAATCCCAATACATGAAAAACAGAAAAAAAAAGGTAAAAAAAAATACAGAGAATAAAATACTATCCTTCGTTTTATCGGGAGTGAGTTGGAACACAGTTCAAACACCATAGTTGTTAGTTCCATTCAGTTCATCTGCATTCCATTCTTAAGAGTGTGCACCAAGGATATTTAAGAACGGCACAAGTTTCCTGAAAAAGAAATAAACATCCTGAAACTGCGGTCATGTCGCTGAGGAAATTTGTCCCAAAGAGCTGAGGCTTATATTCGCTTAACACCTAAATTTCTAAGAAGCCACCGTGATGTATTTCAGGTAACATATTCATGCTAATTACCAAAACAATATGCGATCTGTTCTCTGAAATTTTTTGAGTGTAAAATTGATGTTGTAAAATATGTTTTGATTTAAGTATGTTGTTCATTGTCTTAAATGTTTGTTGTAAGTCACTATCCGGTGGCTGTCAAATTTGATGTTTTCTTACGCTAAAAATTGCAAGATATTATTTCTTAACTTATCATTCATATCTGGGCAATGTCACACTTATATTCATACCTGTCATACCTAATTAACGTCTCTTTCGTGATATATATATATATATATGTATTTCAGGTAACATATTCATGCTAATTACCAAAACAATATGCGATCTGTTCTCTGTTCTCTGTTCTCTGTTCTCCCATATAGCTCTTTGGCATACAAAGCTTTGCTTTCATGTCCAAATTGAGCACTCTAACTAGGATGAGTCATTGCTCTGCAATTGCGCATGCTCGCTAGTGTACTCTAGTTTGAGCACTCTGGCATGGCTTAGACGATACCACAAAGGTTGGATCGTTTGGGGTGACCATATTGGTTCTCCTCCATCCTAGCATTAGCACTGCACTGATGAGGCCCAGAAGGCCGAAACAGTACTGTCTGCAGTTAGATATAGCTCTTTGGCATACAAAGCTTTGCTTTCATGTCCAAATTGAGCACTCTAACTAGGATGAGTCATTGCTCTGCAATTGCGCATGCTCGCTAGTGTACTCTAGTTTGAGCACTCTGGCATGGCTTAGACGATACCACAAAGGTTGGATCGTTTGGGGTGACCATATTGGTTCTCCTCCATCCTAGCATTAGCACTGCACTGATGAGGCCCAGAAGGCCGAAACAGTACTGTCTGCAGTTAGATATAGCTCTTTGGCATA